AATAAAATGTGATTTTTAGACGTAAAACTATTATTAATTTATTATAATTAGAATTTATTTAACATTTATAATTTATCTCTAATTCTTCACTTTTTGCTTCATTCTTGTTGGTTCTGTCTGACTAAAACATTTTGTTTTATTTTTTAATTTCTTCGTCTTGGACCTTTTTGCTGCTCAACAAACAACTTTGAGCCTCAGTCAGAAAAAACTGGAGGATTTTTATACCCGAGAGGAGGAAACTTAGGTGTACCTGCAGTTCTCTTTGTCCTCGTCCTGGTAGATGGTGAAGGGGGTGGTGGGGGGCTTTGGTACCGAGGAGATGCCTCCTGGACAAAATAAAGGACAAGAAGACAGCAGTTTGATTGGTGTCCATAGTCCAAGTGGACACCGTGTGTCTCGTGTCCACAGGACGAGTCAGGGTTAGATCAAAGGGACAGAGGACAGGAAGTTCTAACCTCGGGTTCTGGTGTCACCGTCCCTCTCACCAGCGTGGAGGACAGACGTATTGCTCAGCGGTTCCTCCAGGAACGTTGGGCCCTGGAACATGTCCATGATCACACCTGAAGGAAAACAAACAGGTAGAGACGTCCCACAATGCACCACTGTCCGACACTGAACAGGTGAACTGAGGACAGGCGGGTGAAGACACAAACCCAGGGCCTCCAGCGTGTTGACGGTGGGAGACGGCAGGACGCGTGAGGGCGTGGCCTGAACGTAGCCCAGGGAGGTGTTGGGAGTGATGTGGGACACATTAGCTGCCCCTCCCTGGGACACTGGAAGGACAAAAAGACAATCTGAGATCGTCCAAGTGAGGCGAAGCTGCAAGATCTGAACTAGGGCTGCTACGATTAATCGACAACTAATCGATTATTAAAATAATTGGTGACTAATTTAATAATGGATTAATCTTTTTTTTTGTTCTTTACTTTGTTTTTCTCTCCAAACTGCTTTGACACCTTCCACTGCCACATCTACCTTTCTGTCCTTGACACACATGCACAGTAGTGGTACATGGGGTAGGCCGTGGACGTCACAAGTAGGGCTGCACCGATTAGTTGAAATAATCAATGACGTCGATTATGTAAATTTGTCGACGCAGATTTTTTATTACCGATTCGCTGTATTAAATAACCACCACGTGAATGTTCAGGCAATTCCATTTCGGTACCTAAATGCATCATTGCGACCGTATTGGCATAAGAGCGGTGAGTTTTCCATGCTTGTCCTGAACGCAGCATCACAAGAGCGTAATGACGTCAGCAGCTGCTGCTTCAGTTCAGTCTGAAGCTTGAAAACAAGCCTCGCAGCTCCTGGAGTAAAATTTACCAAACAGACCACCTCTGAATTATCTGCTGGATTAATAATCTGATGGATTAATAATCTGCTGGATTAATTATCTGCTGGATTAATTATCTGCTGGATTAATTATCTGCTGGATTAATTATCTGCTGGATTAATAATCTGCTGGATTAATAATCTGGTGAACAT